GCCCTGGGGAACTTGGCGGTCATGAATTCCAGAGCCTTGGATGGAGACACGAAGCTCATGTGGCCGCCAAATTCCAGATAAGACCTTGGGAGAAGCCAGATTTGCCATTGGGCATTCTGAGACGTGATCGCATGTGAACTTGGCAACTCTTGTGGGAAACACACATAAACATACCACTTTGTTGTGGAGGGTCCAAGATAAATAGGGTGAAGGCCCACAGGGTCGCCGTGGGTCGCGGTGGGGCTGTTTGGCCGCTTTCCGAGGCAACAAGGAGGCCATTGGTCAAGCTGGTGGTGTGCAAGCATTGGTTGGACTTCTGCAAGATGGCGCCTTGGGCCAGTCCAGGAACAACCGTTTGAGAGCGAGCCCCAAGACTCCTCGGTTCAATAATACAATACAGTCTCAGGTATTCTCGAACGACTGTGCAGCAGACTGCCCTAGAATTTATGCTTTTGGCGCCCCGAGCTGGCGCATGGAGCTTGACACCGAGTGCAGTAGCGCACCCATTTCTCGCAGCTCATGCCAGGGTGGATCAAATACTCAGCTGGTGTGATTCAGCGGACATTTGTTGCGATGAATGGTGTTGGCTTGCTGTTTTGACACGCTCATGTGTGAAGCGAAACAGTTTCGTACCGGTATGACGCTTCCGAATATTTGCAGACGCTCCACATGGAGCCACGAGAGAATCCCTGCAGGTTTTGGCGGAGGATTCGATCGCTTAAGGGGCGTGCTGTGTTTTTCCTGAGACCTTTTGAAATGAGACCAAGATCCTTCTATGCATACTGTGTACAGTGGTGATAAAGTTCAGCAGGTATAATAGCCTAGAACTGTTGCGTCCTCCTGAATAGCGGCGTCTTTGTTGCTGCCGTTGTTGTTGGCTGAAATAAAGGGGGGCAAGGCTGGGGATATGGTTGAAGGTTGGAGGAAGGATTGGTTTCCAAGTGGCTGGACTTGTTTCACTTATTATATCAGGCTGGGTCGGTCTATTCTTTGGTGCTTTTGAGGTGTTGTTCTTGAAGTAAGAACGTGCGTTTGATGGGACTGCAGATGTTGTTTGCACCTTGTCCTTGATGGTTCCTTTTGTGTTTCTTGTTGTCATCGTTTATCCCTTAAACTTATTCGGGTATCAAAGTCCCGCTGCACTCCCACTTAGGAGATGGACAGGTGCGTGAGCGTGCAGCGAGCGCGCTGGGCCACTTGGTGAAGGGCATGGGCGGCTTGGGCCGGGCCACTGAGGTTTGGACCGGGCCTTTGTGCGGACGCCACTGAGGTTTCCAGAGGGACCCCTCACCAAAGCTCATAGACCAGCAGGGAGTCATGTTGAGTAGACTTGACCAGGGGCCACTGTCCAGTTCCACGTTTTGAGAAGGAGGGACATCAATCTTCTACCCTGAACATTTGTTGATGGTTCTTTGTTCATTTGCACACACTCTCGAGTGCTCGTTTGAAGGCCTTGAGGATGTTCAGTTGCAACCCCAAAATGCTAAGCTATTGTGTACCCAACTGGAAGTGGAAGTGGAACTGGAACTCCCCCCCCCCGGATTTAAAAAAAACATCCACGCTAAACTGACGTTGGCAATCACGTCCAGACTCGGACCCAGAGTTGGAACTGGAAGTGGAACTGGAACTGGAACTCCTCCCCCCCCCGGATAAAAGGAAATCATCCACGCTAAACTGACGTTGGCAATCACGTCCAGACCCGGGCCCACAATTGGAACTGGAAGTGGAACTCGAACTGGAACTGGAACTCCCCTCCCCCCGCGAAAAAAAACAACAAAAAACTACATTTAACTGACAGTGGCAATCACTTCCAGACTCGGACTCAGAACTGGAAGTGCAACTGGAATTGGAACTCGAACTGGAACTGGACGTGGAACTCCCCCCCCCCGGAAAAAAACAAGAAACAAGATTAAACTGACATTGGCAATCACTTCCAGACTCGGACCCAGAACTGGAAGTGGAACTGCAACTTCCCTCCCCCCTCCCCAGTCTTCCGTGTTGGACGACGTGGAACTGGAACTGGAACTGGAACTCCCCTCCCCCCTCCCCAGTCTTCCGTGTTGGACGACGTGGAACTGGAACTGGAACTGGAACTTCCCTTTCTTCTTCTCAGTCTCCTGTCTTGGACGACGTGGAACTGGAACTGGAACTGGAACTGTTCCACCCGCCCGGGGCACACTCTGAAGCTATTTGTAGAATCTGAAAGTGCACGCATGGATGAGGAAGTGCAACGAGCGTTAACATTACAGTAGTTTCTATGTCACGTTGAACGGCTGATTGTAAAAAATCCAAAACATATGTAATTACTGGAAGCCGCCTGAAGCAGCCGAACAAGAATCATGCAGTTGGCGTGCACCAGATAGTGGCTGAGTCTTTAGAGCTTCCAGAGGAGGAGAAAGGGACCGTGAATGCAGGAACTGGCGCCCACCTGGGTCTGAACAACAGGCCGAACACATCATGCTCCAGAAAATGCAGTTTTCCCATAGGTTCCCATATGTTCTACCCTCTGAAAGAGGCATCATGTTCAACAAAACATGACCGGTCTCCCTCTCAGGCACCCTGTGTGTGTTGAGCGACCAGAACAAGACGGCGATGGTTCGGGCAGGCGCCATCCCTTGGAGCCTTGGATCGTGTTGGGATATATATATATATATACACAACGGGTTCACCTGTGGGGGCATTGTCTGGAGCATGCATTCTGGGGCTTCACCCACCAAGTCAAAAACAACAGCATGGGTAAACAGGGGAATGCCTCGAAGTCACAAATTTCAACTCAACAACTTTCAATTCACGAGCACCCCAAAGCACCACATTATTAGCCTATGAACGTAACCTAATTATGCATTGGTTTGTTGCATTTTTGTGGTTTGTTCGGGTGGTCATATTGGAATCATGGAACATTCTTAGTGAGTACTTAGGGATGACTATATAAACATTAGGAAACCAAAGCGACTTTCTGGGCCCCAGCCCCGTGGTGCAACCAATGACAATATTGAGAACCAAGGACGAAGCGTATTGCAACCGAACATGATAACCTCTCCACCTGAGAGACAACAGTCTTGCGATGTTCAGGCCAAACCCACTCCTCTTGACCCAACATTGTTGTTCTCTTGTGATCGAAGTTGGCATATTCACCAGTGGTATCACCACCCTTTAGCAAAGACGGTAACAGTTCAAGTCTGTCGCCCATCCCGAGGTTGGTCGCGTTGCTGTCCGAGGAGCACGGACGGAAGCCAGCCACAGTAGTTCTCCGGAGCCTGGCCGAGGAGAACGAGGCCTCAGGGAGACTGGTGGCATGTTGAGTGTTGACCAGGGAAACTGGGGCACTGGGAGAGGGGAAAGCAGTTGAGGAGAAGAAACATGAAGAAACCATAGACCCGGGTCATTGGTTTTTGTTTGCTTGCGGATGATTTGGGTTTCTCTCCCCGGATATCCGGGTGTGTGTGTGTGTTTGCCTTTCCCGGGACGCCGGGAGGAGCCAAGAGTGGGGCAAACAAAGTGAGTACGGACTGGCCCAGGTGCACAAGTATGCCATCCAAGAAGCAGCAGCAAAGATTGGAAGTGACCTCGTGAGTGCCGGCTTAAGACTGTAGTTGTTGTATGCACTAGTCGAAGAAGTGACTGTTTAAGAACAGTCCGGACACAACATGTTCGATGTAGATTGTAGATGACGCAAGGAGGAGTGTCGGAGAGTTGGGTGTCCACCACAGATGGGGTGCTGCAACTCAATCAAGCAACCTTCTATACTGTTTAGTCAGTCCTTGGTACAATATTTTACTGTACCATTATATCATTCATTGCACCTGCTGTTGTGCGATGGACTGGCAAAAGCTCGCATGGAGGAGCAGCCCTAAATAGCAGAATTCTGTCCATCCACGCAGTGGATTGTCAGTTTGCTTGAATGGTAGTTCAAGCCCACCCAAGTTTACAATTTAGCTGATTCATGTGGATTCCTTCATCAAAGCTTGTCTTGCACGGGCGGGAGAAATCGAGTCTTTGAAGCATAGATCATAGAATCTTCCGCTTACCCTCCACAACATCCGTAACTTAGTAACATTCTAGTCTCAACAGAGCCGTGTGAAGCACCTTAATGAGAGAAGATGCCCTTGTGTTTGCGGGGGGGTTGAGTGTCCCATGGCCCATGGTGTCCCTTTTGCATTTGGCAATTGAATCTCTTCAGAGTTCGGACATGAAGCCAGCTGTGGACTCCTGTGGACGATAGTATTCATTGACCCAAAGGGTGGTCCATTCCTTCACTCGTCTCTCATGTCACTCGTCCGGTGGAGCTGTTTTTCCCGTCCTCTCGAGCGTGCCCAAAGTTGGCTTCCTCATGGGGCGATCTGGGCCGATTTGAAGTGAATTTGAGCGCACCTAAGGAAGTATATAAAGACTGATGGAACTGTTATTAGATAAGCAACAAAAAACTCAGAGAGCTTTGAGGAGAGCTGTTTGCAGTTGTTGAGTTGAATGATGCTCAAGCCCAATAATCCCTCCTGACAGGACAGAAAGACCTGACAAACTGGGACCAGACATCCATGTCTCTTCAAGGCCAATTGTGCGTTCCAGTCCCACCCGCCTCACCTCGGCAGCATCTTTGATCATTTTCAAGTCATTTCAGCCAAAGCTGCTGGTGGACATGTGGATGGAGAAAGCATGCGCTCCGCTGGGTGCAACCAGGGAGAGAGCTTATATTAGACGCTTACACTCTTTGCGCAAGACACCCGTGTTTAAACCATGTTCACGGAGAGTTGTTTGTCCACGAACCTCCCCGAGGTGGACGCAGTTGGAAAGATCCGGAAAGCAGGGACACGGGACACGCATATGTCTCACTTGTTATAAGCACTTCCTGGTATTACCTTACTTCCACGGCCATTTGATATCATTTGATGGTATATGTACGACTCTATGGCAGACGTTGGTGGTACGAACTCGTTTGGGCCGCACGTTCCTTCGTCTTTCGCATGGCTTGGCCCGGCCCCATCCGACGCTCGTCGCCAGAGGATGAGAGGAAGCAATCGCAAAGAAGAGGAGGAGTGACGGAGGGAGGATAGGCCAGGAAGCTACCAGGAAGTGGTCACGGTCATCAACCATCCCAACTGGTTGGTGCTTCACTCAAGACTTGAAGTACGAGGATGAATCGCAAAGAGGACTTCCGGTGCCTAGCTTTGACCCAAATTTACCCAAATTTGTTGGATAGCTCACCCATCCACCCACCCACCCACCCCGAAAAAGACACTACCAATATGATCACATTTGTCAGGTAACAATACAATACGTACAATTATGTGACCCGGCACAAAGATAGTTTTGCCAGGCCTGTGGATTTAAGGCTTGGCAGGGAGTCTACCACAGGAAAAATCGAAACACGAGGAGAACACCGGTGATTCGGCTATTGAACGATATTCAGCACTTCAATTTCACGTACCAAACTGTCTCTGTAGGAGCAAGGACGCTACTAGGGGCTCCTGGCATCGCTACTAGGAACAAGAAGCTACTAGGGGCTCCTAGCATCGCTACTAGGAGCGATCGGACGCTATGAACAGGGGGTTTTGGTTTGTTGCCACTGGCCAAGCTGCTCAGTGGCCAATCTACTCGGAGGAGAGGGATGTCTGGCACACTCCCTTAGTCGACTTCCGGGACTTCCTGGCCTTCGTCAGGGACACCGAGAGCGGGCGTGAAATGTGGGGAAGCCACCAGGACCTTTCGTTGAGAGGCTTTGGGAGAGAATGGTTCTATTTAGGCATATTTAGGCTGAATAGGTGCATGCAGTTGGATGGGACACTGTCAAAAGACCGCTTTTAAGGATCTTTTAGGCGCACAGTTGCGGTATTCAGGGGTTGTCATGAGCTGGCCGACCTAGGCACGGGCGCTTCAAGTGGAAGAGCTTTCAGAACTTCACGCAAGGCACGATGTGGGAACAGAGGAAGCGATTGTTTGAGGAGTTGGACCCAGGCTATGGGAATGCTGGGAGGTGATCCATTCCTGAGGTCTTCGGGGTGAACTCGCTGATCTATTTAGTTGTTTTTGTTTTTTTTAGTTTAGTGTGGAAACATTGTATAACTATCATACATACCGTATCTTTAATATATACGTATATATATAATATACTACTTATATTTTATATAGATATATTCCTTTCGGGCCGGTCATGAAACAGTATCACGCATTGACATTCCATAGCTTGCATGTCGCTTTAGATTCCTCCATGTTAACTTGCAATTGAATTGATTAAACCTTCTTGGTTCTCTGGCGCTTCAAGACGCCTCTAAGAGGTTTCAACTGATCGATGGCGACCACGACGGTGCTGTAGAGAAAGGCGGGCTCGCGGAGGTCCACTGTGAGAGACTGAAGGGCAAGGGGTCCAGAATCCAGAAGGTTCCAATGGAAGGTGTGTTGCTCCAGGCTTTAACAAGGGCTTGGGTGGTGTACTTAGTGCAGCTGAAGTTGAAATTGCTAAGTGAAGCTGGCTCCGGTTCGAGCCAAACAGTGCAGAGTTAGCTGATGTTTGTGGTGAGGTTCAGTCCTTGGCAACTTGGCTAAAAGCATGGGGAGGGCTTCGGCCAGTGAACAGAGACAACCGGCCCAGCACATGTATACCGAAAGATGCCTCGAGATGTGAGAGTGACAACTGGTGTATGCCACCTACCCTCCCAAATGCCAACATAAAGACTGACAGGCCACCCTCAGCAGAGAATCACCTTCCTGATTTTGCGGATGGCATCGGACATCTAACCACTCCGGGCGGTGTCCATGTTGGTTGACCGTCAGGCCACATGTCACATGGATGGCCACCCCCTGTCCGTTCCGCTGTGGAGGCGAATTCTTGCGGCTCCTTCCGGAAGACACGCCAGAAGAGCTCAGACGGGTGAACTGAGTTGATTTCCCTCCACTGAGATCAAAGCGCACGAAGAAGGATCCTTTAACCAGATCATCATTGACGCATCCGATTGTTTTTCTACACCTTTTTTTGGGGAGTGCTGTTGTTAATAGCAAGTGCATCCCTGGTAGCTTCTTGTTACCTCTTCATCGTTTTGGGCCCACCGGAGCCCTCCTATTTCCAACCAGGGATCGAAGCACTTCAGGGCCCTGCTGATCAGCCACAAGGTGGAGACGCTTTTGTCGGACGCCGCTGGGCAGCAAAGTGTCAGACGGAGGACCCTTTTGTTTGCAACAAGGTCTTTCAGCTCCAGACATTACATGCATAGCTCATGCATAGCTGCTATTTGTGAGCTGCATCCCGGACTCCTGGCGTGTCTCAAAATGCAAGGTGCCCCCAGTGAGACCCTGGGGTAGGTGGAGTTGGGGTGTCTCTGAAAAATGCAAACAATCCAGATGCCATTTCCTCACACATCACCTTCCTCAAGCTGCCTCCCAGGCGCAGATCTCTGCAGGGACGATGGTGATGACCTTTGACGATGTGTTCGACGTCATGAGCCTTTGTCGTGCCTCGGAAAGGGCGTATGACGGGTTTGAGCGGGTTGACGGCACTGGTGCATCCAGTGTAGGAGAGTGGAAAGTCAGACAACTCGTAGGTTTTACAAGCCAACGTGAAGAAGTAAGTATATATTAAGAAGTGTCAGACATGCGGTAGAAAGTGGTAGAAGGTCAATCTATTCTGCATGATGTTCCTTCTCCATTTTCTTGGTAAAGCCTCAAGTCTTCGTGCAGCGTCACGATTCTGGAAGCCCTCCCGCGGAGAAGCACCCGGAATTGGGCTGAATGCAAATTTGACCTCAACACTGTGACCTCAACACTGTCACAACTCAACCACTGTGACCTCAACAAGTGTTTTTCTCGCGAGACGGTGCAGCACCAGTCAACCAGACTGTACTCACCAGGGCTCTGAAAACCAAGGCAGCACCAGCAACTTCACGAGCTCAGAGTTGGAGGAGCTGAAAGAGGCCGAGCTGGGAGAACGGCTGCGAGGGGAGCTTAGAGGATGTCAAAACCTCTCAATGAGGCAAGAGGCCGAGTTGCACCACCACACGCTGGGTGCTTTTTGGATCGGTCGCAAGTTGTGCGTGTTGTGTGTGTGTGTGTGAGTTGGTGGGGCAGATGTGAGGGAGGCTATCTAACAAAATTAGGCCTTGCGCCGCACCGTATTGCCACAGCGAGGCTGTGAACATTGAGGGCGCAGGTTATATTTAAAACCCTCCCAACCAACGCTTGTGTTGCATGGGTAACAGAGAGGGCATTTTTCAACAACTGCACCCTGAGTTCACCAACCTACACTCGAGCGTGTTAGTCTTTAGAGGGTTTTCCTTCAGCTGTGCTTGTTCCTTATGAGGGCAGTTGTGAGGACAGCTTGTGGGGCCCGGCCTCACCGTCCAGAGTCCTTCATTTGGAATATCTCTCTATATATATATATACAGAACATGTAGAGAGAGAGAGGATTGTTATTCATATCGCATACATACATATATACTACTATACATATATAGTCATATTATTATATATTTAAATATCAATCTACGGTCTACATCATGGTTTTGCTATGTACTACTCAACGGAGTCACTTTGCTTTGCTGTTCCTGTCACCTTGGAATTACTCCATCCAATTCATCCATTGGTTGCCTGTTCCTTCCTGCAAAGGCCCGCCAGAAACATCAACGCTTGGCAATCCCAACGCTGCAGGCCTTCCATCGCTTCGACGAGGATTCCTCGGGGAAGATCGATGTGCTGGAGATGGTGGAGATGCCAATTGGAAGGAGAAGAGGACGTCGCGGTACGAAGTGGATCAGAACGGTCAGAGTTTAAGCCGTCCATGCAAAACCCGGTGAGTGATTCAAGTCAAGTAGTAGCAAAGGCGCACATGAGTTGTCAAGATCCCACTTTGGAACGGTTTGCGGTTTTGGTGCCATCTATCCCATTCTCCTTTGGAGCTTTTATGGCGGCGCCACAAGTTCGGTCATGCCAAGTTTGGACAGTCTCAAGGGTTGACCAGGGTCGGTCTTGACCCACTCACTAGCGCAAATGATAGAAGCACTGGACTCAGTACACGAAGAACCGAAATGAACCATGGCCAATTGCAGTGCCGCAAACTGAACCGGGCAACAACACTGGACTTTGGACCGTGAAAGGAGTGGACTTGTCATGGACGACGTGCCTGGTTGATCGATCTTCCACGGAGACCTTGATCGATCACCCAACGACCTCACGTCACAACCCGAATGAAACGTCACAACCTCACGTTACCCACCTTCTGTTCAACCGAAACCTTACAAACGTTTCTCAATGAACGTAATTAATAAGTCGTTTTGGTGGGCACCTGTTTTCGTTTGTGATCAAAACGACGCCTTCTGGAGGCTCGGTTCGGCGGGTGTGGCGAGGGGGTTCGGTTGCCGGTTTCGGTCGGCGAGGCTTCTCTACATGGGCTACAGCAGCTCCTTGGAGGTCGTCCACCAGAGCCTTGGCGCCGGGACCAATCGGCACCAATCGAATCATTCACAGAGTAGTCCAATCAGTTTCTGATATTGCAGTGATATATGGAAGACATGCTAATTCAGGTCGTTGTTCGTTTATTTTTGGAACTGCAGACATGCCATTTGAGTAGTAGTTGGCTTTTAACTTGGTGTTTGACCCAGACCCTGGAAGCTTGTACGACTGGAGAAGCTTTGTTCACCAGCCCGGTGCGACCGACGCTGTGGCAGACCGAAGCGCGACCAAAGCGCGATCGGTCCAGAGCTGGAACATAAAGAACGAAACATCGGAAGGAGTCCTGAAGGTGTCGAAATTCTTCACCCGTAGTTGCCCCGGGGAGGTGTTGAAGCCGTCACTACGTATATGATGTGCTCATATGATGTGCTCATGTCTTTTCCCACCATCAGTTTCCGCCTTGCTGCGGCTCTGCAGGAGGGCTGCGCTAGTTGCTGGTGTTTGGATGGCTTTTTGTCACAACAATTGCCCTCATTTTGAACACCAATAATAGGTTCAACACCATCACAGCAGTGAAACAAATGTCCACATCAGGTCATGCATGGTCATGCAGATGTCATGCAGGTCCAATCTGGACCACTGTCCACTTCCCCTTGACCACTGGGAAGCCGCTGCCCTCGCCGAGCAATCGGCGCCCGGAACTCGTCTCGCGTGATGTCGACGATTGTGGCACAGCCTGGGTCCCGCCAGAGATGGGCGGACATGGTCGACAGCCAGAGTCAGGACCATGATTTCTGACAGAGGATTCACACATGATTGATCAAGTGTAGATATACATGCACGTTCTGCACCTTAAGCGGGCCACCCTGCCCGCCTCCGCAGCCAGGAGTCTTTGGGCGAGATTCAGACTCAGCCTCCTCCTCCGATCCATCAAGACTCCTACCAGGAGAGCCAGGCCCCACGAAGTGGGGGAGGAAGATGAGGAAAAACAATGAAAAACACATTTCCATGTCCAGTTTGCACTTGCCTAGGTTTTTGCCAAAAAGACTCCATGGGCAATCTTTTTGGGGGAGCATCTTGGGACACACCTGTCGGATGCGTGTGCGGAACTTGTGAGATTCGGGAGGCTGCCCGATGGCAGTTTCTGATGTTTCTGTGTCGAAGGCTTGTTGACGATGTCACTGTTTGAATAACGCAGCCATGTGAGCAAACAGTATATACATCAACCAAGCTTTTACGGTGTTTTATGAGTGGCTGGTGAGCGCGTTTAGATGTCGTCGATTGTCCTTGTCAGGCCTCACAGGTTTGCAGCCAGGGTGGCATTTGCTGCTTGGCCAGTTGGTGTTACAACCGAAAGCATTTCAATCGCACCATCACGGAATTGAATCGGAACCTCCTGGAATGCAGATTTGGCATCGGCATTGCCAAGTTTCTTTTTTGGTGTTATCAGTGGCTCACTGGGCCGAGGTCCTTGATGCCATAGCTTCATGGGTGCAATGTGGTGCAATCATCCTCCCCGGTTCCCCACTTCATTTTGCAGATATGGGTTCACAACAAACAATATTCCCTAGCCACTTATGCCCATTTACCTATCAGTGATAAGCAGGGGCTAAGGTAGGTTTCTTTGTGATACTGGTGATGCCTGCCACCCTGGCCAGAAGTGACGGGCCAAATGGGTTACTTTTGGTGAAGGTTGTGCAGGATGCCATGACATTCCAGCATGTCTTTTTTGAACGGTTGAAAGGCTAAAGGTCTGAGAGGGGGGACTCTAGTACTCTAGTCTTCGAAAGGCCAAGGCTGTCCGCATATACGCACCGACCTTGAAAGTCTATGTTGTTTTGTCGTCCCTCAGGGCCCTTGGATTTGAATGATGTTCCATTTTGTCCCGTCCATTCCCTATGCCACTTCCCACCAACCCAAACCATGTCATGCAGTTCAGCGCCATGCATTCATGTTTTGCAGGCGCTGCACTTCGATAGAAGACCATTTGTGGGGGAGGCCAAACGTATAGACTGACCAACCAATTCCGTTGGATCTTAGTGAGAAAGAGACGTAGCACTCGCAGCATTGGGACCAGGGGCCACTCGGCCATCTCACGATTTCTTTCACCACCCCACTCACATCCACTACACCCATGGGACCCAGTTGGTCATCCACTGTTTTGTCATTGGCCGTGGCCAGATGTGGCCACCAGCCCCAGCTCCAGGCGATCTCCTGCAGAGCAAGGCCGAGATCGAGGACACGCAAGAAGCACCGCCCACGCGCCTGACTCGGCGGAAGCATTTGCAGGAGGACGCTGATGGCAGTGACTTGGGTTGGTTCATGTTGGTTCGTTGGGTGCGGTGGGGTGGGAGAGGTGAAGGAAGTTGAAAAAGTTGAGAAACTGAAGGAAGAGGTGAGAGGCTTTTGTTGTGTGCAGCCGGAAAGAAGACAAGGAGTAATATATATATATATATATGTTTTTTTTCTCAGAGACGCGGTACCATTGGCCCTGCTGACTGTGGACGCGCTGAATTTTGGCCCGCCTTGAACACGGGAGCCTAGTATAAGGGGCTTTTTAGGCGCCATTTTGCACGTGGGACCTCAGGAGCCCATTCTTTTTTAGCGTCATCATTTCTGTCCGGTCCGATCCCTTGGCCACTACAATACAAAGATATGTGGGACATATGTTGTGCCTCCAGTCCTTTTATCCCACCAACTGCACATACAACAGCACTAACTAGAGCGTTGAGTGTTGCTATCTTCATGCCACAAGGGAGCTCACAGCGTTCCATATCTGCTCTTGTCCCACCAGCTTTGCTAGCAGCCTCTTCCCAGGTGATGATGAGATGACACTTCCACGCGGACAAAAGCGTGAAAACAAGGCCATGGAAACCACCGGCTCATCTTCAGCTGCTGCACCGGCCACAAAGCGCCAGAGATCCTTCCCGCAGGAGGCGGGAGCGCATTCTGGGTGAGTGGGGCCAAAAGATCAACGTGATATCTAAGAATCTACTGTATAACTAACAACATGATATTGTCTTGAAGTATCTTGAATTCTGCATGCGTTTCGTGAGGTAAGTACCATCAGAATGGTTGGAAACAGCGCTCAGTTTTTGGTGTGTGTGCATTTGGGTATGCACATGTATGTAAATACCGGTGAAACTCATTCATGAGTCTCCGGCAATGCTGCAAAAAACCTATGAAGTTTAGTTCTGCCAGGCTTATAGGTCATGATTTCTGATGTAGATGCACATCAGATTTGATTGAAACATGATGCCCAGTCCCCCCTCTACACTGCTGCCCCGGACAGCCACTGCTGCCCCGGACCTCCCTACACTGCACGTGCCCAGGAGGTCCGCCCTGCACCTGGCGACGCAGTGGTCCACCCTGCCACGACGGCACCAGAGGCCATGGATGACCACGGAACGGACGACGCCGCATCCACGGGAGACGATGCGGTGGCTGCGCGACGCTTGGCGTGGGAGTAGTGAAGCGTTTTGAAGCTTAATTGATGGCTTACAGTAATAATAATGTGTGTTGAGTTGAAGGCATGTCTGTTTAGTGGTGGGCAAGTACGACAAGTGGGTAGCTTTCTTGCATTTCATGCCATTCATCCACGAAGCAACCGGAATGATGCAATTTGGACGACTTGCCTGAAGCCGCAAGATACCCAGGTCTGTGTTTGTGCAACAAACCAGTCCTATTTGCCGAGTTGAGCAGGAAGCGTTTATCTCAAACAATGGTTTGTGGGCAATGCCTCAGGTTTTGTTTGGTTGTCAAGTCGCACCTTTTTTAAAAACGACTTGGACATTCTGATTGGACAAGCATCCATAAGCATCCCACTGAAAATCCCCCACTTTGGAAACCTTGCGTCCCTTCAAAGCCTTTGTTTTTCGGGTCAAACCCTTCCGCCGTCGTGGCGTTCGGATCAGCCCGGATGTCTGCACAGATTCCCTTGAACGGAACGCTTGCGGGAGTTCGAGTTAAGTCCTGTAAGACGGGGTGGAGTGGGGATCCAGCAGCGCTAGAATGAGGACCCGGTTTCTTTCTTTTGGGATGAGGCTTTTGGAGATCAAGCATGTGTATAGGGACGCTTTCAGTCAGACCGACGCCCTATTCTGTGGAAGCAGCTGGTTACGCAGCTGGTTTTGGTGGTTGGTGACACTTGTCGTTGGACCGTCGCTGAGGCATGCGGAAGCGCTATCGGCTCATCCAGGTGCACAAGAGCCTTGGTGGATCCACTGCGTTTGTCGAACGTGGGCAACTGACCCCTCTTCAAGATGGTGTTGATGAAACCGATGTGCTTACAGAAAGCACCAAGTCTAGCCAAAATGCTTGTCAGATGATGTTTTTTGTTGAGGCACACCTCTTCCACACACTTTGGAGTGAATCATCCTTCTTGGCCAGTTAAGGAGCCGAGACGACTACCAGTTGTTCAACGCCGCACGACCTCGTGATGTGCGCACTGAGGAGAGTGTGGCCGAGGGAGAAGGGACAATGGTGGAAGGGATTGGTCGACCACATAAACTCACAACATTTTGTGCTTGTTGCAACATGTGTCTTTTTCATCCTTTTTCTAGGTCGTGAAGGAGGCCTCGCAACCAACAATAACGTGAGGGGGAATCACGACTTGGGCGCGTGGTTTTTTATTTTCAACTTTTTTATGGGTCAATGCGGGTGCCAATACTGGTCGCTTGGGTGAGGTCGGAGCTCATCGTTCAAAACGTTGTCAATTGAGTTCCTTTGAGTGTATTTGAGTTGTATTATTAGCTACTACTTTTGACGCACTAGCCCCCTGCAAGAGCTCAGCTTGACACAGTATGATCCAACTTCGCTGCATCCAGAGCGTGGCTTTACATTCCAGACGCGGAAACCAGCCGACTGCCATTCAACCCTGTGACGACTGAGAACTTGAGATCTGTTAGGGGCGTCAGCAAGGGCATGCAGGGTCCCTCATGTCAAGAGCGAGTAACCAATGGTATGTTGTGGGATTCCAGTAAGGATGTTTCACTTTTTTGCTTCTCGGACGCTACTAGGACCTCCTGGCATCGCTATATAGGACGCTACTGGGGGCTCCTGGCCATACTACTAGGAACAAGAAGCTTACCAAGATTTACAAAGGATCTTTCACTTTTGCTTCTTGTAGTGTGAACGATCCATTTTGTCATTGACTTTCTTCTTTTGCAGCCGACCTTCTTCGTCTCATCAGGACGAGCCGCACACACCAGACCCCACGGCCCACCCGTCGAAGCGCCAGTGGGAGTCAGTTGTGCAGAAGTGGCGCGAGGGGTTGCGCGAGCAGCTTGGCATGCTCGTGAGGGGCGCGAGCGGGTCGTGGATGGGGTGCAAGGCTTAGGCATCGAATGGGATGATGTGACTAGGTGGCTAGTACCATCCCTGGATGAAGGGAGGGGAGGTAAAACAAATTCGGATATGTTCATAGAGGCGGGGTGATCGGCTGGGCGGGCCCGTCCCTGAAGCTGGTGGGCTGGTCAACATGGGTGTATTCATGTTGAAACGTTTAAGTTAAGACTTGCCCCCAGGCAGGGAAGACACAACTGGTGTGGGACCTGTTCAGTTCTTGTTTTCACGAGAGCAGGGAGAACTCCATGGCTTTCGTTTCGTTTGTCGAAGGGCGTCAGTGTGAGATGTCCTTTCTCCATCTTTCTAGTTCTGATTGACGAGCATCTCCTTTGTGCCGTGTTTCAAGTTGGTTTGGCAGACACTCCGAAAGAAAGAACGGACTTCGGAATGAACGTCCATCAAATAGAATGGCCCAATCCGACACTGCCCCAGATTATGTTTCAGGAATGAATCCAACAAAGTCAAGCCGCAAACCACCGTATTAATACATCATATGTAATACAGTGTTTGACCAGAGATGATGCCACATTTGACGCTTGGTAGTCCATGACCACCATTGACTTTGGCACCATTGGAATTCCTTGGGGCTTACGAGCATCCCTGCATCAACAGCTTCCCGCGGATGCCATTCAGGCAGCTTTCCACTCGGTGACTTTTCCTCCTGCCCACCGCCTGTGTTCGTTAACGCCTGGCTGTTTAGACACTAACGCCGAGGCTGTTGGGACTTCCATCGGCCGGAGTTCGTCGGTGTAGCCGGAGTGAGGTGGAGCGGCGGCTTGAGCCTACCTGCTGAGGTCTGAGCGCGCAGCGCCACAGGGCCAGGGTTCATCGGAGTTTGGGTCAGAAAACGCCCCAACACCTTACTCCAAGATACTGCAAGTAGTATTTAAGGGATTACGGAACTTACAGTTACAAGTCGGTACACGCGTCCACGAACTTGAGAAATGAGACCCAGCCTGCTTGCCATGGCCATAGTCTTGGTACTTTGAAGATCTTTGAAGGGGTTTTGAGCCACGGACGTGAAGCCACGGGCGTGATGTGGTGTCCAGAGAGGCGAGACGCGACGAGATCTCGACGGATCGTCTATATATATATATATACAGGTATACATGAGTTGGGTCTGTCCATTCCGAACCTGCAACAGTCAGTACACCATTATATCTATTTTTGAAGAACGCCCTTACTAACCATCATCATCCACTGTTACTGGCAAGAGGATAGACCCAATAGATGATGACATTGATTGTCAATTCAGCGATACCTTGAACCTGCAGTACAAGAAACACATACATCGCCGAGATCAAGTGTCGCCCGGCTGCAGCCCTGTACAGAGGGGCATCGTGCAGAAAAAGATGAGAGCAGATGTCGTCCGTGATTGCGGCAGATGGTCTTGGTTTGCTTGTTTTGGGCCGGCGCTTTGTGCACACTCCTGTTGGCCTGCAGATTTATTTGGCTTCCGGTTGTAGGTGGAAAGGTGGAACATGGGCATGGTGGAGGACCTCTTCTTTAGCCGAACTAGGCCGAAGAGGAGCCCACAGACTGCAAGGTGGCTCAATGATCTAACGAACCAGTTCTTGAGGTGCCAAGAGAGTCAGAAGTCCAAGAGTTTCTCATGCCCCAGGGGCATTTGAAACTAGTATGGTCGAAATCCACTACTACACCCTGAAAACCACTGGGTTATTGAAGAAAGCAATTGCTCTCCCAGGGGCCTTGGTCCTGAGCACCGTAAATACAGATCCGTTTTTTCAAGAGGCCCAAGGCGCTGCAGAAGTTTCTCCAACTGCGCGGAGTTTTTAGCTGCGTCCGAAGCGTCGCACATGGTCGACTGAGGATCATCCACCTGAGTGATGCCGATGGAAATGATGAGCTGGGGAGCCCCACGACCGGGCGATTCCGAAGGGCCCAAGCCCGATGAGCACGTGAGATGGACATGAGACGTTTAGGAAAGAAAACATGAATTTTGGATGTTGCTGGTGCAGGCTTCTGCTGGCGACTTCATTGATAGTGTGGTGGAAGAGTGTGTTGCGGACATACGCATCACCAATGTTTTTGCTTGGTCAGACGTGGCGTGGCCGAGGCTGCCTACAAGCCCGTTGGTTTGTAAATTGTAATGTTTGAACCTTCAGGCTTTAAGGTATTGCTGCCGATTGTGCAGTATGCATCAGTATTCTATTTTGGGATGTGAATTGTTTTGTTCTTACATGCCGTGAATATTGACAAACACATTGTTCAGGAATGTTCAGGACCTTGACCTGTTCCCTATGTCAACCAGACAAGCCTAGCTACTGATCAACCAGGATTTCGATCATGGTCACTTTCACTATTCCTTGGTGCCTTGCACACCCCCGTTGAACCCCAAAGGTTGTTTAAGCATTTACTCATCAAATCAAACTAAAAACAGACCTGAACTCAGCCAAGCGGCTGGCCAATCTCGTCACTTGAGGCTGGACTTCCAAGAATTCTTGCACGTGATGTCCACTCATGAGCTTACTCACACCAAGGCGGCACGTGCGGCATTCAATGCCGGGGATGTCCTAGGCTGTACGTGTCCAGGTGAGTGTCCTTTCAGCCAACAGCGTAGGCAGTGTACACCCTGGATGCTCCCGCATGCGAAAGCACAGTTCATTGGCACAAATGGCCAGGAAGGGCCTGTTGATCTAAAACACAATTTCCAAGATACCTGTTCTAAGGTGAGTCACTTAATTTGTTGATTCAGGGGAGCAATGATCACTGATACTGATAGTCTTGATGGACACAAGTTTTGCCATCCCCAATCTACGTGTAGGGATTCCCAATCCACTCGTACCTACGAACATGGCAAGGTTTAGTCCATCAAGGTTGCTATCCTACTCCACTCCTCGGGAAAACCCAAAGAGCAACCAGTGCCTGCAGCCACCGTTGCACTTGTCCCCTGAAAAAACATAACAGGGGATGTAGGGCACCAAATTTTGGTGCGGATCAAATATCATCAAATATCTATTGCCAAGCCCTTCCACCACTGAGCACCTGCAGCAATCTTCTCCAGCTCTACTTGTAGGCTCTACTTGTATGTCAGGTTCCCTCTTCATCTCGATGTATCCCTCTTGGATCCTCTTGGCAATTTGCTGTACATCGGCTCGTGTAGCATCACATCAACACGACTTGTCCTGGAGTCGGTCTCCCAAATCGCCCGCGTACGATGCCGAGCGTTCAGAATCGGCCAGGCCCTGCGTTCAGCGTTCCAGAAGAATGCTGGGCTTGGAGGAACCACCTGCCCCTCGGAGAGCAGCTGAGCAGCTCTGCCGAGGGAATGAGCAGAAGAACTTCCAAAGAAGGGTGGAAGTGTTTGACATGCAGAAAAGCTGTTTTGAATAGTTTCTTCACGTTCCAGGTAGACTGGTTTGATGAAAGACTAGGCTCTTTGAAATCGCTGGTTGCAGTAGTTGTTGTAAGTCCAGTGGTGTTTAGACGCTTTGTGCATCTTTGTATCATATTACATCTTCACTGAGATTGCCAACCACATGTGAGATGGAACCAGGCCGTTTGGTTTCACATGCCGTTCGGTTGATCAGCACCGCTTCTCAGGTTCGCGTGAAGAGGTGTCCAACCTCTTGCAGAAGCCAGGCTCTTAGCCAGAGATACCACCTGAGACTTAAACAACAACCTGCAAATAGAACGAACCGATCCATCTCAGCTGTATCTGCCAGAGGTGTGTCTTGAAGAAAACCATCATATTTATAATCACATAATTCATAATCCGTTTTGTCACCAACATCGGCCACCACACCGTGGCATTGAGGTTGGGCTACTTCCCAGGCGAGGAGGAGCTGGACGGGATTTTCACCTCAGATGCGAACGGTGTGGAGGCCGGTCATTGTCGCTTCAGACGGGCGGAGCGTTTCCGCAGAGCAACAGCTCGGTGGAACTCGGTGTGGTGGCTGGCTCTGGGGGTGGAAGGTGGGATGGTGATAGAGTGGACTTTGGATACTTTGGTGTGTTCGTTTTTGTTGGGGGTTCAAGTGCGCGTTGAACAGGAAACATGTCTTCCAGCGGATCCATTTTCATGGTTGCTGGAGACTATGAGGATCAAGGTTGCTAGGCGGCGCTTAGAAGAATCAGCAACAGGGCAGGCACGGTTTCGGTGCAGAAGGCGCTGGTTCCATTGCCCCTACGAAATCCTTTTGGTGAATTTGACGGGCATTTGTTTGTAAATAACATTAAATAACAAACAAGTCCATGTTCTACGCCTAAGCATGCTGGATTTATTTGGATGTCATATCCAGTCGACAGGATTGGAATCATAAAGAAGTCCAACTGTTGTTAACTAATACTGCAACTAGATCCAGTTTTTTGATCAACATTCTACATTAGGCGTGGACTTCATTTGTGACAGGACTTTGACTTCAACTTGACCCGTGTGGTCACGACCAGCTGCCGGCGGCATTTGGCCAAGGCACTTTCGAAAGCGGCACTTTCTCTTTGATGGGGGCCGCTAGGGGAGGGGAGTTGTTGGAATCACAAGCTAAACATACACATGGCAGTGCTACTCAAAGATTAGATCAACCTGGTGGTTTTGAGGGTCCATGTTGAATAGATATGTTGTGGGAGCGTACGGCCAGTGTAGTGAAACAAGGGACATGCCTTTTCGGATCTCTTTTGGTGATCCAAAAGAGGTTCCCAAAGCAATCACTCTGAGTTCCTTCACGTATCAGCAATCACTCATCGTGCGGCCCCAGAGTCGTCTTTCAGACACCAACGTGTCCTGTGGTTGGTGAACGTTCATACTTGCCGCAGTTTATCTCCAGAGCAGGGGCGTCACGTGGGCGATAGCAACAAGAGGTTTAGACTCTAGACACACCTTGCCGCGCAAAGCCTTGCCAAGGTCTGCCAGGGAATGCCAATTGCTGAATTCACAGCTCGAATCCAGTGTTTCTCGGAACGGTGCTTCAGAGTTCGAACAAAACCAATTGCTTTCAAGAACCCGCTCACCCCATCCAACCCTTTGCGGCCGCCAATGCAACCAGAAGCTACAGAAGACCAAGAGGGCCGAAAAGCAGGTAGTCAGATCACTTTGCACGTCGCGGATCAGCGCGATGGGCTATGGCAAAGACAGCAGCTTTTGCAGCACCTACGGCAGCTATGGCAAGGCAACGGTGGCAGATAGTTGGGGCATGGCGGGTTTTGGGGAGGTTGGCCTGCGTTTCGGCCGATATTTTAGTTGCACTTGTAACTTGCGATTGTTGGCCTTTAGGCGCCTTTTGGCAATATTTTCATCAATAAGGACATGGACAATGATGGTGTTGAGAGGAGTCGAGGCAGCCTTCAGAGCTTGTAGGCAGTGAACAAATCAAGGCATTAAGCAACCAAGAGGATCAGATCATGTATGATCATGTTGACCCGCCAACACCGCTCTAGACTCTGTTTGGTGGAATTGATGGACGGTAATAGTGTGATTCGTGGCTTGGTGCGTTCTGTTTGATGTGGAAGACGACTCAAGTTCCTGAACCCACGACGCAGCATGGAGAACCTCGATGCAGTGCAACCCATCCCGGATCTGTGGCGATCCGTGGAAGCCCAGGCGTCGGCGTCCTGGGCGAAGCCGAAGACACCCTCGAAGATCACGCAAGCAAAGTCGACCTGTAAGAACTGCCACTCGGAAGATCCAGGCCATTCTTACAGGGCGTTCTTCGGTGGGAAGATCTGACTTCTTGGCTGATCGTACCACCGGAGAGGAGAAAAAAAAAGCAAGGGGGGGTTGTTCCCGTCGGGGGTTGTTCCCGTCGATCCCAGTGACCGGTTTGTACAACAAATAGTTGCTTTGCACATCTTTGCACTCTTTCGAGCCAGTGCAAGTCTTCAGAATATTCTGAAAAAGGTGATTTGAACTTTGAGCGCTATTGGTGTACATCACCGTACTGAAGCACTTCCTGACTGTAACAGTAGAGCTAACTATATAGATGTCCTGTCTCTATAACCATCCGTTTCGTGAACAGGATCACCCATACCTCACAATGGAATTCATTGCGGCTCCATGGCCTAGGCGGTGGCCGGGGGCATGAGGCCAAGGATTGCCCCTCGGCGCCCTTGTGCAAGACCTGCGGGCTGCCGAACCACACCACGGAGGAATGCTGGAACGCCTCAAAGAAGTGCCTGAGAGATGAGGTCACTGAAGTGACCACCACCGACGGATGGGTGAGGGGGCGAGGTAGTTTGATGGGTGAGGTATGTGCATTGATTCGGAGTCATGAAAACATATGCCAACCAGACATACCGGACTGGACAGGGATGCTGCTAGTTTGCACTTCACCTCAAGAAGTGGATGCTTTTTCCCATGGGTGTGGTGACTTTCTCATTTTATGTCGTGCAATCCCAGCAATAAGAACAGGAACAATCCAGGGAAGAAAGGCTAGCCAAAGGAAAGGGATGCTTCCAAACCTGGCTCCTTACCAGTAGCTGGGGTTAGCTCGTGGGCATCACTCAAGCATCACAATCAGTATTCCATAGTATATATGCCTATTCTGATCTATTCTGTGATGGTTTGAGGGAGGGGCTAAGGCAAGTTGATGAGTTCCCTGTCGCCCGGAACTGGTCACGACTTTGAGGTGCAACATTTGTGGGAAGACCGGTCATTTGATGAACGTATGCCGGAAGAAGGCCCAGAAAGAGAAGAATGGTTGGGCCGAGAAGGGTCAGAAGTGGGGTTCCAAGCAAGGCTGGACGGAATCAGAGAAGAACAGTCAGAAGTGGGGTTCCAAGCAAGGCTGGACGGAATCCAGCAGAAAGGTGTCGAACGTCTCCACAGAGCAGACTCGCAAGGTGGAGTGGGCAGGTAAGCGGAAGGAGACTTGGTCTGACAAGCCCAAGAAACAAGAGTGGTCAGACAAGCGCAGAAAGAAGGAGCAGCCCAACCCAGAGTGCTACTGCTGTGGGAGCTGGTGGCATGAGAAGAACGATTGCCCCTACAAGGACAATAAGTGTGACTTCTGTGGCAAGACCGGGCATTTATTTGTCATGTGCCTCGACCGGAAGGACTGACCGTTTTTGCGACCGGAGCTGGAGACTCAGAGAACTTGAGAACGTGTTCTCTCCAAGTTCTCACATGGCCTTCCCACAGAATCCTACGTTTTTGGGAGCACACTGAGGAAGCGGAAGCCAAATCACGGTTTATGCTTTATGTTGGGGCACCGGGGTGTTGATGGGCATGTTTCTATTGTCAAAGGGATGTGTGAATTGGGGGCAGGGCAGGGCCGCTTGGGTCGAACATGTGGGATGGAAGCATGCTCTTTTTCATGTTTGTCTCAAACCGATAGGTGAAGCGATTGGTTTGGCTGGCGTTTGAACGGAATAATTCAGGATCATGCCGACATAGTCATGAGCACTCACATGTCATGAGCACTCAACCTTGCATGGCGATGTGGTTCCAAGAAGCCCTCCTGGGCTTTGCTGTCCACACATCCCGTCATGCCTGCTCAGACTTGTGCGGGGTGGTTCTCCACAGACGCCATAAGACGCCCTGCATCACTGGCATCAGTCTGGATTTGGAGGGTCCCATTGACTGGCCCCATCGCAGGACTGCTCCCGCTGCGGTTCCGCGGACCACAGCTGCTTGCGCTGCCCCATGCGCATACACCGCTGCGAGCTTTGCGGCTTGAAGGGCCACACAGAGACTTGAATGAACCGGTGAAGGTGGCCATGGTAGGTCGATCTGCGTGCAGTGCGGTCGATATGTGGTGAACCGGAGACCGGGGGGTTCCCAAGAGCTTTGTCGCGAGCACAGGGTTGAGTTTCGTTGCAGAAAGCGGTCGCTGTTTCGTTGATGTGAAGAGTTGACTCCCCAAGAGTTGTTCCAATGATTTTTACATATCTTTACCGACCATAAGGCCATAAGATAATAAGGAGTTTACTATTTGGACTCTTCTGTGAACAGGACAATGCAGGCTAAATTACAACTCCCTTCGTCGTCGTCGCCCGTTGAAAGCCACAGGAGAACGTGTGCCACTCTGACCGTCCTTCGACCTGGAAGCTGGAGAAGGAAAAGAACAAGTTCCTCGGCGTTTTGCCAGTCCAGAGATTGTATATGATTGTATGATGTTCCCTTAAGAAAAGACTCGGATAGATACTGAGATGGGGTGGATAGGGTGGATCAGAGTGTTTGTGGTTTTCATCCACGTTTGTCAAAATCCGTTTGTCAGGTTTTGTCGGCGCTGTGGGAGCTGGTGGCATGCGCAGTCAGTGTGCCCACACAGGCAAAGCCGCTGTGGGAAGTGTGGTGCGCTTGGGCACCTTGAGGAGTGGTGCAGGACCAGAGGCCGAAGACTGCGCACAAAGAAGAAGGGCGAGAAAGATGAGGAGGCGCGGTTGTTCTACCAGACATGTGCGGTATACTATATATATAAGTATATCATTTTATATGTGCAATCTTCGCAGCATCCACTGTTTGCACTTCAAAGTGTTCTGGATCCACACGTCCTCAAGCTTACCATTCATCATCGAAAGACTAGGAGGAAGACCGGGAAGAGATCATGGAAGAGGAGATGGATCAGATGGATGCGCAAGAATTGGAGGAGATTTTGGAGGGTTGTGCCTGTTGTGGCAACCCCGAGCACGAAGCCAAGGACAGGAGCACGAAGTAGCAGGGCGGGTGGAAGCAGCACCATACTTACGCACTAAAGTAACGATCCCACACTTATATACATGGGGAAGGGGGACAAGGAATCCACTTGAACAATTTTCCCCATTAATTTTTCATGATGTAGGGGACGGCTGATCTTGGGTTAAGACGTTGCTTGAGGATCACAGCATTGTCACACCAAATGCAGCGATGTCCCACCAAATAGATCTCCGCCTGGCGCATCTCTTGGCGCAGTTTTTCTGAAAAACATATCAGAGGAGAGAACTCCCGACAAATCAATGCAAGAAAATTGTGAATATTGGTCCGGGAAAAATGCCGGTGCGCTGCGACAGGAATTTTGTTGGAATGTTTGCGACTACAGTCGATTGGAGGTTTTGGTAATGTTTTTGTTGCGGCACGCTTGTGTCAAAGGATCACGTTCTTGGTCCAAATTGATAAGTTTTAATCCTTGCCTTACACTTGCTCCAAAATGTCGGGAACAACCGTCCCATCATCCAACCGACCCACCATCCCACTCACCCACCAGCAAACCCCACCCAAGGAACACAGTTTGGCCTCGATTCCTCGATTCGCTTTGCCTGGGATCCATCCAGGATTGCCCGCTACAAGATCTCACCTGTGAACTTTGCGGTTTGCGAGGGCATCTGGAGAACATGTGTCGAAGCAGCCAGATACCCAGCAACTTGGCACTTGGCGGTCCACTGCTTCGCGCCGCTTCGGGTACGTGGTTGAGGTGCGTGACGACCGGTTGGTTGAGCCATGGTGATGCCAAAAAACATGAAAAAGGCAGGCCAAAAAGACCGGTTGACCACAGGTGATGGATGGCGACCTGCGGAACATGGAGGTACGAAGTGGAAGATCTGGTCAAACACAGGTGAAAGACGTGTGGCACTACCGCCTTGAATGAGCATCGATTTCGCACGGTGGCCTCTCGCTAAACTAGATCTAATTAGCTCCCTCTCTCTGCCGGAATTCCAATAAGCTACTAGGAACAAGTGCATCGCTTCTAGTAACAAGTGCCTTATTAGTAGAAACAAGAAGCTATTAGAATCAAAGAATTCCTCCACTTCTCCAAGGCACCGAGAAGCCGGGGATCAAGGATGGTGACCGGGACGCCCAGAGTGAGTTGTCAGACCCTGGGCCGTTGAGCGAGGAGGGTGACGTGAAGAGCGAGGTCAGCGTTGAGCCTTGGAGTCGAAAGCCTTGGGTCAAAGGTGGCATGCTTTTTCAAAGTATTGGCATCATGGTCTAACCATGTTTAACCCTAATTATTCCCTCATGCTTGGATGAAGATCATTGAAGTGGAATTGGGCATTTTGAGTGGGGTTGTCGATCAAGAATGGCAGTTGGATTTCTATTCGTGACCTGGACTGATGGATTTTGCTGTACTGCAGTTGTGCATTTGCCGGCGATTACTCAAGACTTGTCGGCACTTGTGGGTCGTGGTGAAGCCAAGGGTTGGTTCATCATCGCCCTTTATTGCCCAACCGTTTTGTTGATGCATCAGTGTTGTTTCACTTGGTTCATTCATTCACCGGTGAAACTCGGTTGGTTCATATAGATATCTATAGTGTTTCTTCTCGTTGATCTCCTTTTTATTCCGACGAGTCGTTGGATGTTGGGGGCGCCTTCTTCGGTCGAAGCGGCTGATTCCGAACACCGACAGTCGCAGCGGTTCCTATGGGCAGACGAAACCATACAGCAGAACGAAACCAGACCAGCCGAGAAGCCGGCTGATCCGATCATCCAACAGGCACGCAATGAACTCAACGCTTGGATTCGCTTGTATCAGATATCTCCAGATCTGTTTGGCACTCTTCCGTTGGAAAGGGGCTGGGCCAAAACACATCACCCAAGCAAAAATGCCAGGCACACATCCCATATGAGAAGTTGCTTGACATGTTGCCCGGGTGTTCTCCCGCGAAAACAGCTTGTACATTCTTAGGCCTGGGCAGAGGTCAAGGACTACACTGAGCACTGGTCACTATCAACACTACCGGGTGCATGAGAGAATATATTTAGAGAGTAAACAGTCAACAGTCAGATAGTATAGTAGAGTTCCTTAAGTCCCGGTTGGCGGGTGCACTTTATTTTTGGGATGGCCAAAGTTCGGAGTTTTGTGCAGTCGTGGGTAACCATCATTCATGGCGGCAACAATGACTTGAGTGAGAATAATAGGAGCTTCCCGCTCCCCAGCTGACCTGGCTTCTTTCCAGTAAAGCACCAAGTCATGCCCAACCACTCGAATTGAGGAGGGCCCTGCAGATGAGTTGGAGCAAGAGGGCAGCGAACTAGGGGTCGCTGATGGTGAGGAGCGCATGGAGGGCGAAGGGGGTCGGGGCGATGGTCCTGAATAAGCAGCGAACATAGACCGCAGGAAGCTACCCACACACTAAGTGAAGCTATTGAATGCTAAAAACGGACTCAAGATCCACAAGGGACTCAAAGGAGGCCACCGGATGTGACATGCATTTCGCGGTGGGCATTTGAAGGCCATTGGGAGTGTTTAAAGGGTGTTCAGCCTCCTTGCGTTGCAAGGAGGACCCAGATTGGGGCCCAGCGGACGGCTCGGAACAAGAGGGCAGCGAACCGGGCGTTGCTGGTGGTGAGGAGTGCCGGAGGTCGAGGGCAGTCGGGGTACAGAAAAAAGAGACCACGCACTCATTTCACCCTCAAGGTCCTGAAATGACAATGACTGTAAAACAACTTGCTTCCACCCTCATTAAGATGTTCGACTGATAGGGCATTTGACATGGTGATCCATTTGGTTATTGTTTAGCAGGCTCACTGACCCCCCTAGACAGACCATCTCCTTGTGATAGAGCAGCCAGGTTGATTGAATTATTGTTTGCGCGGTTCTTTGCGTCAGACATTTGCAACTGGGTGATTGGCGCAGTGACTGGCTATAGTGGCTATGTGGCTATGCTTTCGTCTTAAGCTTGGGAGCCCTTTGCTGGGCCCATGTGTTCCTTAATGTTTCTTAAGTCCCGGTTGGCGGGTGCACTTTATTTTTGGGATGGCCAAAGTTCGGAGTTTTGTGCAGTCGTGGGTAACCATCATTCATGGCGGCAACAATGACTTGAGCGAGAATAATAGGAGCTTCCCGCTCCCCAGCTGACCTGGCTTCTTTCC